ATATTAACAAACACAATGTTTGCTTACGTCGAAGTTTCCTTTTTGGTGTCAAGGTTTGTTTCGATAGTTTTATTAAACTACATGTACTTATACATGATATTTTTTTTAGTTTCAATATATAAGTGTGCATAATTGCGATTGTAAAACGTTCGAGTCTTCAGTATGATACACGCATAGTTCATAATCTGTTGGCACATAATGCAGTATTGATCATGGAAGAAAAGTATATATAGAATATAAGTTACGTACTGAAAAGCGAATTGACTGGAGATTTACCTTTTCCTCTGAAGTATCCTATGTGTCCTGATCTTCCCTCTGTGACCCCTTTGTGATCCACTGATGCGCCTCGCATGTCCTGCCCACCTACGACACCTTTGGCACTTTCAATGTAGTATGTTTGCTGTCTGTTTTCTGGAATACCGTATTAAACATATCGTTAAGACGTTCATCGTTTGCAGATAGAAAACCTAATGAGTTGACGATCATGTTCAATTTCTATAGATTGACTGATGCGTCAGACAGGTTATGACTGTATGATTGGATGACAAAAGCGATGACTTCAATTTCACAATGGTCAACTCTCCTCAGTTTCCGAACAGATGAACATTCTGCCACCGGTGAGACAGGACACTCCCACCTCTCACGGTGATTTATAAACACATGTCCTTGGTATATGTAGAGTGGGGATCCTTTAATCGGGTCTGTAGTAAGGCTCTATGTTTAGATACAAGGGTAACCGTAGGAATTAACATTGTCATATAGAAAGATGTGCTCTAGCAAATAGGTAAACTCACCAATAGATCCCATTTGACCTTCATCAATACCGGTGACGACAGAATTGTCTACCCGAGCATCACCCTTGACACCCGTCACTTCCATTTTCTGATATCTGTGAATACAGTAAACATGTCTCAACAATATATGTACAACCTGGTCTCACAAGCATTTAATTTTATTCCAGATGGAATGTGTTCCTGATGATAGGTAAAACTGGATATTTTTGCACTGACGTTTCGTATTTAAATAAAAATGACAATACTTTATTTCCTATAATCGCGTAGTGGACGATTAGAAAAACAACATAAATGATCTGCAAATCCACAGGCACACGGCAGTAATTTCATGTCACTCAATCACCTGCTGTGAATACAAAATTACACGTTCAAAAACAAATGACTTATGAGGTTATTATATTGAAGAATTTGACGTCGCGGCACACATTTCCATTAACTTGAGCAAACGAAAGAGTGATTAGTGGGTTGTCAGGGTTTAAGTCAAATCGAATAATAGGGATAAGTCAGAATTCTTCAATAATATACATATGCTATATCATATTTTTATATTCAGCGTAACTCTGATTGTCCTTGTGCTGTAATCATGAATGACAAAGAAAGAACGATATCCCAAAAAAACATAACAATATATACCTTTCTGTAATGGAAGTCCTTTGCCACTACCTTGAGTTCCAGCAACTACTGAATTGTTAACTTTTGCATTTCCTGTTGTGCCTGTCACAGTAAATTCTGCCATTTTTCACCTGCAATCTAACAGAACATCCCCTTTATGACCGGAGTGGGGTACAACTTACTGACTGTACTGAATCTCGATTTGTATGTAAGAAGATGATTTAGCGGACTTGAGTAAAGAATATGAAGTATTACCTTTAGTGGGACAAAAATCCTTGACGTGTGATCTACTGTAGGCTTGGGGATGTGCGTGCAGCCTTTGTTATTGAAATTATCGCTGTATGACAAGCACATATATTTACTTTGATGACGTTGATCTAAATTTACAATGCTCCGGGAAGGCAAGTGCCATTTACAGGAAAACTTTACCTCCAACAACAACCGCGGATACAGTTTCCATTGTTTACATGATACCATTCACACCAAAAACATGTCATTGTATACAATGGGATCAATACATGTGTAGCTGGTTCTGAGAAATGTATTATGTATCCAGTACTTAGATCTAACTCCATGAAACACTGAATGCATTTATACTCATATTTGTGAAAACTAATTATAGAGTCAAGGGTTTGGTATGGATCAGTGCCACGTGGTTGATAACAAGATCTGATGCACCAGTAACTCTGTGTGTTACATTACACGGGTGCACACATGCAGTCATGGGTTCACATGAAGTATGGATTTTTCATTTCACACTAAGCATATATTAATGAGTTCAGAGAAACTAGGTATTCGTTGCGCTGACTCAATTCTAGGAAACAATAAATGAGTGTCTTCTGTTATCAGATTATAATTATATAATACGTCCGTGTTTCGGATGAATCGATTTGCGGAACAGACATGCGTAGAGGAGGTCAAGTGTTAGATAACAAGAACTGGTGCACTCGTTCAAACTTACAACAGCAGACACTGAATTCACTATGTGTATTCCGTTTATATGAGGCGGAAGGGGGAGGACTTTGATTGTTGTGGATCTCTCTCTCTCTCTCTCTCTCTCTCTCTCTCTCTCTCTCTCTCTCTCTCTCTCTCTCTCTCTCTCTCTCTCTCTCTCTGTTTTCTTTCATACTTTCATACTAGCATTTACTTTATTTCTAACAAAATAGATACATTGTAAATACGGCAAGTATACAAACGAGGCTACAAATCATCTGTATTTATCTTTCAAAGTCATTGGATACTGCCTGCAGCAGGAGGAAGTACATTGCAGTAAACATAACTCGGCGTACTAAAGTACTGTCGGAAATAGAAAAAAAACATGTTTTATCGCATTTATATGTGCAGTTTATATAGGTAATATGTTACGGTATGAAATTCTGTTAAACTAAGTTCGACCTAATTACAGTCTCTCTGGCAGGGAGATAGGAAACGAAGACAAAAGGACTTTATTGAGGAGAGATTAGTGCAGAAATGAACAATGCGTTTTTTGGGAACAGACCATGGCTTTATGCAAAATTAGTGTGCGATGATATTGTATTAGAAAGGACACTTGTTAAATGCCCTTAGCTCAATTATAAATGATAACTGACGTACAAAATAATAACTTTAATACTGAAACTATTGAGGATGTAGCTACCACGGAGTCTCACTATCACTATAAAAAGAAATAGGTAGGAGGGGTCGCCTCAAAAGCAAAACCAGGACGGGTGTTGCAGACGGTGGTTGGGGTGGAGCTGGGGGATTGAGATAAGATAATCCTTTAGGGGAATTAAACTGGGGAAGTAAACGGCATGTCATAGCAATTTACAAATAACATCCAGTCCTGTCGAACTTCGGGTGGTCATGTCACATTTAGCATTTCATGCGATGGCTGATTTAAGCTTTTCTATGGGTATCACACTCTTTTACATATCTCAACATAAACATTATGACAGAAAGACGCGTAAGATGTTAATCAATAGATGAGACATCTTCAACACGCATGAAAAAGCATGACATATCGTTGAGATGACCCCTTGTGCCTGTAGGCAGGACACGCATTTCATGCAAGGTGAGTCGACGGTCCATCTTAGCCCATCGTCATAACTGGCTGAGAGACCTCATTGTCACCTGCAGTCTGATCTATTGTTTTCAGCAGCTATTCGTAATTTTTCTAAGTGTTGCCCGATTTTACGAGTAAACATGATTTTCTGGATATCCTATTACGCATCCCACTGAATGCCCAGTTAGGCCGATGTGGGTTATTTCGACATATGCAATTGTGTAAATTTTAAGGATACAGACTAACAGACTAAAACAGTTGTTGTTTTTTTCTATTTCCGACAGTACTTTAGCATACAAGTACGTCCATCTGTACAGGTAAACTTCAGTGGTGGGTGATGCTGGTAGGACAAGACCTGTTTACCCTTCTTAACGAACACCTGTCATATTGTAATGAACAGTAGCCTACAAGCATCACTCACATGCAGCCACTGTAGTCGTCACCATTTGCCCATTTGACCTTTGACCATGATGCCCCATTTACCATGTAGTGAAAATGTCACAGCACGCTAAAAAAACAACACTTCGACTCCGGACACCAACAGTGGCATGTGCAGCCGCTACAGCAGAATGTCAGTGAATTTCAGTGATCTGTTTTCGACACCTATTTTGCCTTTTGCACCCAGATTATCACCGTCGGATAATGGAGACGATATACGGAAGCGTAGTAGGCCCCTGGTGAAAATTGTTTTAGTTTCATTATCTCCTTCATAGGTCATAGTATCTCCTACGTAGGACTTAGTATCTCCTACGTAGGACTTAAAGAAAAAGACAACGTCACCATCTTCTTGTGAATAAATAGTACAGTTTGTCGAGTTTGTGGCATTTCACATGATTGGGATTCTGTGTTAGAGCTAGACCACAGTAATCTATGCTTATGGTCCGAGAGGACTTACTGTCTCCAACGTAGGACATACTATCTCCTTACTATCTCCTACGCAAATATAAATATATCCGTGATTTGAAAGGGAAAATGATAAGAGTAAGTGACCCGTAAGACCTACGTAGGAGATAGTAAGTCCAAAGTAGGACATACTAAGTCCAACGTGGTACTTAATATCTCCTACGTAGGACTTAGTGAGACTATGTCATACGTAGGAGATACTATGTCATGCGTAGGGCTTAATAACTCCTACGTAAGACATAGTATAGATCCTAGGTGAATGAAAACGTGTTTTAACACTTATAAATCGACGCACGTGCAAGTGTGTGTATTCGTGTTTGTGTGTGCGTGTGTGCGTGCGTGTGTGTGTGTTCGCGTACCAGACAGGGTTATCCTACAACTTCTATAGTGCTTGCCATGTTGCAGTTAGGTACTCTACATTACACCTATATACTTAGTCGATTCCAGTCGTCGTTGTTCCCACCACCCACTTTACGCTGAACTGACGTAGCGCCAACAAAAGACGGAACAACACTAACATTCCGTCCAGTTAATAAAGAGGTATGCATGCTCCTTGATAAAGGTCCATTGAAATAATTCTTAGCGAAAGTTGTGCATGTGAGGGCTGGAACAGTGCGTCGTTATTCTCAACTGTCCCACTCTGTCTACAGCAATGTCTCATCATATCCGCTGCCACTGAAGTCTCAACCTGCACGTCTTTGAGCATTACGTAGCACCGAACGTCAGCCATCATTCCAGATAATAAATAATGTAACAAGAACACTGCACCAAATATCATCACAATATGGCATATGAGGGACAGGTGACGAGTTCTTAGCCAAACTACCAACATACAGTGGTAACTGAGTGAATGCTGTTTCTGGGCACAGACAGCAATATTCACTTTACTGTTGCCTGACAATAATAGTGTCAAAGAAACACCAAGTGCCATGCATGCCCCAAGACACCACACAAAAACTAACAACTCCATCTATTTCTAATTGTCACCAATCAAGCTTGAAAAGACAACATGGCTGATTAAAAAGTGATAATTTCGTTTATGAGAAATGAGTTCATTTTATTAAAAAAAAACATCATTTGATGAAAATAGGACGCATAATAATACTTTGTATTATTAAAACAAATATACTTTGATGTGATGAATGACATTCGATGTCACTTAATACACTGGTACTTTCAGAGTTCATGTTCCATGCCGCGTCCATTGTTAAAGGTTTAAACAGAGTCAACCCGAAGTGTGACCATCAATTAAGTTGTCAACTGGATTATTTCGAACGTTGTGCCAGAATTGTTTTTATCTTCATTTTATCAAGAGGTGACGTAACACCTAGTGCATCCAAAACGCCGTCTTCCAAAAGGTTCCCAAAGTATTTGCCATCAATGCCGTGTTCCTCAAATGTCTTCCGTGTGGATTCAGGAAAACGTTCTCTTATCATCAGATTCTGAACATCTTCGACTGTCATCAGCTCGATGTCTGGACCTGGAAATGTGATCAAATGTTTTCACATGTGTCTTAGTGCACACATAAGTTCAAAATTGATCTAGTATAAAAATCCTATTAATGCTTGTCTGCCTGTCTATCTGCATGTATGCATGCACATTTTATTCCATGTATTCCTTAAGCGTTATATTGTGTTCCCTTTTGTTATCCTGATTGAAATATAGACTGCAACTGAGACAAAGTGGAATATAGTTCCACGTCGACTATTGACAAATATATGCCAAGGAATCAACCTATATGCTTGACAATTGCACCACAGAGTGTGCGCAGACATACATGCAATACGAAGCATTTATCTTATCCTAAATAGGAAAATCAGACCTACTTGTCGATGCTGCTTGAGACGCTGGTTGTTGGGTGGGATTGCTGCCACTGCCAATGTTGACCGTATCCCCTGTGACCTCATTGACGGTTGTCACCCCTGAACTTCCGCTCACATTATTGTGAAATGTCTTTCCCACTGAAAGAATATTGGATGTTTTACAAACAAAGCAATTACAGCCAAGAGACATATATTTGATGTTTGCTGCAATTATTGAAATGATGTAAATTTTGTTTCAAGGTATGACAGATATGCATGGTGGACATTTTGTAAGACGTGATTTCTGTGCTGTTTCGTCACATACCTAGAAGTGAGTGAGTATATTTTGTTTTACGCCGCTCCGATTCGGCGTGACGTGCGAACGCTTTAACCACTAGACTACGCCACCGCCTACATTACATACAAAATAGACCGCCTTTAACAAAAAAAATAGTTACCATGGTGCTATGGGGCCACTTCTGAGCATCCAAATGGAGATTTGCAAGCAGGAGAGCCTGCTTATTTGTATCAATATATGCCAAATGTGACGACGATGGGACGACTAAACGTCTCTACAGTTTTCCTTTATAGGTGATATCAAATAATGGGACTAACCTTCTTCACAATATCATAGTTAAGTATTTTCCATGATCAAGCGTATATTGAAGCGTAAGTCCTTACTGTTTCTGACTTTCTACTTCTTACACCTGTTTACAGTACAAGTATACGACGCTAAGACGCTAATTGGTTTTACGAGTAAAAGTTGTACTTTCAATCTTTTCGGGGTTAATTCCAACATTCGAATTATTGGCCCAATCTGATTTTGTGCAGGTCATGAATGATACATATGGCTGATGTAATATTGTAATCTATAGGGACATTATTGACGTGTCGTTGGCAAATAAACGTATATGTCTATACCTTCAACGATATCAGTCATATGAGCAATAAACATCAGCGGTCCTAAGACTGATCCTTTGGGAACATCTGCTTCTATGGCATTAGATTCAGAGCTATAACCGTTTATGACAACTCCATGCGTTCTATGTGCCAGATAACTTTCAAAACATTTCAAAAGGTAGCCCTGTGTACCGGGCCGGCCCAGTGAGTGTATCGTATGTTTGAAGTTTATGCATGATTAATTTATTTCATACTCGGCCAGCTGCTTTGCTAACGTCAAACAAATACAGCTATTATTCCCTTTCCGACGTCTACTGTCCCAGCTATGAAGTTACAGAGATACGTTAGCTGATCGGCTTTTAAATAACGGAGCATAAGTCCCGATTGCAAATTCTTTTTTGAAATAGAGGTGTCTGTGAGAAAGTTACACATGTTTAAATTCATATTTTTTTTAAATCTTAGCTTAACAACTTGTAAGTGCTGTTGGTCAATTGATGGAAACGAAGAACAATCAGTAAGTTAATTGATATATAAGTTTTAATCAAACGCCATCATGTATTGGATAGGTGTGTATTATTAATATATTTCCTCATCAAGTGTGGTTTCAAACGTTCTTTTCACTTTTCATACAGATGACATCACCTTGTTTTAATACTTTTAAATTTACTCCAGTGTGAAGATTTGCAATTTTATGAATTCGGTTTCGTATTCTTATCATATATACTAGTGCAGTGGCTATGAGGGGCATCCATGTTCATTGAAGTGTTTATTATGTAATGGCCATCGCCCGAGCTGAACGGCAGTATGGGTATAACACGGATCTATTTACGGACTTTCCCCAGAAATTGAGTGACTAACAATATATTGACCTCACGACTGACTCAATTCCATGTTCATTTTTCAACACTGAAATGCACCACCTGTGTACATTGCTGTATGTTGATCGGACGACTTTATGTCTGTTCTTATTTATTCCCGATTAAGTATAATAATTATACCTATGTCTGGCTCATACATGCAAGTGCAATGACTAAAAGATATGTATGGTGCATGAATAGAGATAGTGAAGTTTGTCCTGAATGATAACATTTCAAGCTACGGTCTCCATTTGAGAATTTTTATATTGTGTATGAGTTTGTAATGTTATTGCGTTAACCTTTTGCGATATTCCTACCTACGAACCTACTCTTCTCAGTGACCCTTATTAACTATCCGCCCCCAACTATGTGGGTATGAAATATTACGCTATATGTCAATTCGATTTTACTTTTCATCACCAATCCCCGAAACCCACCTCCCTCTCAAACGCTGTCAGGGAAACTGTGGTAGATAAATTTTCCAGGAAATTTGACCAGCATATTTATTGCTATGTGGTTGATTGTCTGGTATATTTTTCTGTTTGTACTCGACAAGTTTGTAATGTGCTTGTTTGTCCGGGACATTTACCATTATCAAGTGGAATGATAAATATAAAAGCATCAGCAAAATCGTTTTCCTCAATGAATCTAACAAAATCATGTAAACTCGATATTCTGCAAAGATTACACATTTATCAGAGTTTTTCGCGATAATACTGTGTCCAAGTTGTTTATTGTAAAACTTCAGTACCATGTCGTAGTCCGACAATAATTATGTAGGACGAAAGTAAAACATTTTTGCATTTTAGGTCATGTAATCACTGACAGAGTTTCCTGCAATATTTACTTGACATCTGTCAATGAAAACCTTGGGGACTCTGCGCCCTTTTGGGATGCGCTTAATGATCATGCTTGAAATCAAAACATTTCAATTATTTTTGCAAAAGTATTGTTCAAGTAAATTACACAGAGGAGAATATTTATATGCAAAACATTTAAGGTAGATAGTTTTCACAATTTAACACTGACTTTGCTGAACGGCTCAAACCCGCCACCATTTCCTTTTTCGCACATGTCCAAATCTCCTGACAATGAATCAGGTGGAATAACTCCCAAACACATACTAAATCTTTGCATGCTACAATCTCTTTAACATCACAGCAATAAAGGTCAAAAAGTATGTGTAAGTACTTTTTCAAGATAACTCTAAAACTTTGCACCCTACTGGGGTGCATGGGGGTTAATGGCAATGTTGGGTATGACGGCCCAACACAGAAATGTGTTTGCAAGGGTCATTGATTTACTGACATTGTTCAGAATATCACATGATTACATATTTCAACTTTACTCGTAAACGTCTTATCCAAATTGACTCGAATTCCACTTCCGGGTAGGCAGACACCGTGTGTCAGATTAACGTGTCACAACATGTAAGGAAATGTCAATTATACTCTGTGGACTCTCGCTCCACAGCGTTATTTTCAACAACCCTGTATACACACCCATGATTCAACGAGCTCCCCTTATATCTGCAAATCATGACAAAATCGATATCGGTTCAGCGCAATGTATGGCCTCCTAAAATACATAACTTCATATTGGATAATGCTGACAATGTTGCCGTGACGGTACAAATAAATAGCGTGCGTTATAGTTTATCATACTTGTTGTTCAATTTCTGATTAATATTGAACAGCATACGCGAGTGTATACACACAAAGATTATAAACGATCCGCCACAAGTCAATATTATGTTTAATAGCCGAACACAGTGGCTATAGATATTTGTAAAACCAGCAACTTATCAATGTCTAAAAAATAACTTATAACTGTGTTTATCTGTAAATGATCAAGTTCTTAGATGAGCATGCGTGCATAATTATTTCTCTATTTTTATGTCATATTTTGTATACCCTTTGAAATAGATGTATTCAGTTGAATGAGAGATCAATTGTGGCATCATGTTAATGTTCTCCATGTCAGAACAAAACATTCACAGTCAGTAACAAATCACAATTCCGTTTGAGAAACAGAATGAAACTCATTAGGATAACCCCAGTACTTACATTCAATGTCCTGGGTGCCGTTCCACTAACCGATCTTAACTAAGATCAATCAATAAGTTACGCCAATTTTACAATCGTCTTAGCTAAAAGTTACACCCGTTCCACTAACCGATCTTAGGCCAATCGTAGCCGGTCCCGATCTTACGATCCGATCCAAGCTTAGATGGAGACACTTTCGTTAGAGAGATAGAGGAATGCGAGGCACGAGTTATCTCCCTTTGCATAGTCTGGGAAATGATGGAAGTAGTTTACGAACCAACTGAGTGAGTGAGTGAGTTTAGATTTACGCCGCACTCAGCAATAGTCAAGCTATATAGCGGCGGTCTGTAAATAATCTAGCTAATTAAGATGCATAGCGTTCACTAACATGAGCGTTCATGTTAGTGATCGCTATGTATCTCAGCTATAAATAATCGAGTCTCGACCAGACAATCCAGTGATAAACAGCATGAGGATCGATCTGCGCAGTTGGGAACCGATGACATGTGTCAACCAAGTCAGACAACCCGATCCCGTTAGTGGCCTCTTACAACCATGGGTTATTCAGGGGCGGATACAGCTTTTTGAGAAAGGTGTGTGTGTGTGTGTGTGTTTTTGGGGGTGGGGTAGGGGGTTGCACACTTTTGAGAAAAGGGAGGGTGCACATTTCATTTACACCCGAGTTGCAATGGTCATTTAATAAACTTTCAGGACATCCTTGCACCCTTGCAACCCCACCCCACCCCATCCCTTGGATCCTCCTATAGTTATTGAAGTTCAATATTCTAATCCGGGCCTTCATGGGTATTTTTCCAACCAAGTGGAAACGTGGGGAAAAAAACTAGAGCAAAATATTAGGGTAGTGAGCACCTTGGTTTCAGGTGCAAGTGTGTGTGAACGCTGGGTATCAGGCATAATATAATAATAATATATGCATATTTATAGTGCGCCTATTCCACATCCTGGGGCATGCTCAGAGCGCTATGTACAGATAATTTACACGAGAGTATTTACAGCCGAGATTATAAGTAATATACTGAGAACAGGTTTTAAGTCTGGACTTTCAATTGTGTCAGAGCTTTTATTATGTGCCTGAACCTTGTCAATCAGAATAAACAAGGCATGACGAGGCATCCTCTATAACGTATCTAGAATCTGTCAGTGGTCTTGAATAACACGCGGCCTGCCTTTAGAATCCCCCACCAAATATGCGCAGTGAAATCAAACATATTTGTATCTTTTTGTATCAGAACATTGTTCACTTCACGGCTTTCCCTATTCTTAACCATGTCGTTGCATTATTGTTGTACAAATGTGTTACACCGACTCGCTCGTTTGTGTTCCCATGACGACAGTG